AACAGTAAAGTAATGTCTCTCTAATTGACGCTCCGATTGTCCGTAAAACTGGACAATTATTCGAGCCTTGCTGTTCGTTTTTTATAGTTGTTGACAATCGGTAACTATAAAAACGAGTTGCAAGGTTCGAACAATCGTATCTCCCCTTCCCAAATTGTCCATTTTTGTACACAATCTGAGCGTCAATTAGAGAGACATTACTGTATCTGTGACCCGACGGATGTGACGAGACATTTGAGTTCCAAGTTTCATAACTTCGAGCATGTAACATTACCATTTAATACTTCATAAACGACTAGAAAATCTATCATGGGACGCCTGTGTTCGAGAGATAGCAAATCGAAGCGTGATACGGGGACATAGCGATGGTTGTAAGCTGACATCGGGTGGCCCCGAGTTTGGGCCCTAAACGAAAGGACAACCACTGCCGAGATCTCTCTAAGATATCAATGAACCATACAGGGTGTCCCGAAAATGTCTCGCAATCCGGAAATAAGAGGTTACTGAGGTCATTTGAAGCAACTTTTTCCTATGCGAAAATTTTCTCCGAGGCTTCGTTTACGAGTTATTAACGGAAAACACTGACCAATAAGAGGCGAGCTCGGCTGGCGCACGGCGGCTCAGCCAACGAGTGCACGAAGCCCAGTTCCGCTCATTGGCTCGGCCGTCTCGCGCCAAATGTTTTTCGTTAATAACTGGTAAACGAAGCCGCGAATTGCATTTTCGCTGAGGAAAAAGTTGCTTCAAATGACCTCAGGAATCCCCTACTTTTGGATTGCGAGACATTTTTGGGACACCCTGTATAGTAGCGCAGTACTCGAGACATTAGCGAGGACGATTAAGGATTACCATTCTACGTAGGATATCACGTTCACGCGAACTCTTTTTAAGAAACCGCTGGAAACGTGTGAAATTTGACGCGCGCGATACGCAACGAAGACTCTTTTCCGCGGGAGCGAACGGTTTCCAGCGACGATTACCGGTCTGTTGAAAAAAATCTGCGGGAGAACTCATCGGGTTTCGTGCAACCTTTCACAGTTCCCAACAGTGCAGATCGTGCCGCGGATCTTCGCAAGTCAGCTAATTACCCATTGCCGCGCGATCAACACTGAAAACTCGTCTTTCGGAATTGAATAACGCCGAGCCCTCTCTGTCGCGGATGCACACACGCCACGCACACATACACGGGCGCGTTCGATCGTTAACAAGGCAATCCAACGGGCCCGCAAAAAAAAAGGAAAAGAAAAGAAGAACCGAACCGGAGGAGGAACTTTCCCCGTCGAGACCGTGTTCCAAGCGGAGCAAAGAATCAGAGAAATTAATGCTGCTCCAGGTCGCATTCACGCCGAAAAATTGACACCGTAAGCTCGAGCCTCCGCACTTTAATGCCACGACATTAAGACGGTGGCCTGAATGGAGCTCGGGGGGGATCCGGGGAAGGGGGGAGCACTTAGCGGAACAAAACGAGAGGCTGGCACATAATAAGTCGCGGTGCGCTCGTGCGGGTGTCCCGTGAAAGGACGAAGACAAAGGCGAGAGCGGTCTCGAGGCATAATTAAAACGCGTCGAGTGTCCCATCGAATCGAGACACCGGCCCCAAAAGAAGACGAAGAGAGAGGAGAGAGAGAGAGAGAGAGAGAGAGAGAGAGAGAGAAGGAAGGGTTCGATTACCAGCGTGTCTGACGCGTTTTCGACCGGGATCCGCGTGAGAGTGGCCTCTCCTCGAATCGCGTTTCACCATCCGAGCTACCTTTTCAGCCGCAACCATCCATCCATCCGGCCCCGGAATCGAATAAATCGCGTTCACGCCGTGCGTTGTCAAAGAAAGTTTGACGCGTCTCGTTAGAAATCCATTCAGCGGCGGCGAGCGCCGTTATTTACGGGCTATCGAAAGGAAATACGATTTCCGAATAACACCGAAGAACGATTAACCCGGCTGATATCGGTAGCTCACGGTCGACCGCGAGACCGAATCGGTGCTCCTCCTGCGTCCTTTTATTTTCTCGATTTCGCTGCTCCTTTTTTCTTTTCGGGGTCGCGGGGAAACGACAGCCGCCGCGATCCTCGCTCGAGCTGCGAACCTGTTCGAAATCACTCGAGGTGTTACCGTGGTAACTGTGCGGGCTCGAAACTCGATTAGCAAAGAAAATACCGGAGTATCTCAGCCGGGCTCCGCGTTCAATCGATCTGCAGCATCCGAAGAGGCTTTTAAGGCGACCGCAACATCTTATTGTCTTCTCAGGCCGGACTAATGAATCCGTGTTTACACCCTATCGCCGGCTGACGTTTCCAGCTCGAGCGTATGTTCGCCTAATTCGGATTCGATTATTCATCAGAATGGAATCAATAGGATCTTCATGCGAGGCAATTGTGAGAAACGGGATTTTAGTCAAATATTAGCTGCTTGTTTTAACAATTTTAGTCAGCCGAAAATAGTGCGACATGTGCAATACCTGTAGTTCAATTGGTGCAATAGTATAGTATAGTTTATAGTGCGAGGTAAATACTTATAGTTCAATTAGTGCAATAGTATAGTATAATTTATAGTGCAATTCTTCAGTTCTTCAATTCAAACGCTTTTGTCACAAATGCGTGGAAACTGCACTCTAGCACGACGCAAAACATTTCGGTTCTTAAATCTATATGAAAAATGTAATCTTTCGTAGTCAAAACTGGATAAAGTTGAGTTAACTTCCGACCTATTAACGCTAGATATCGTAAAGATACATTTACGAGTTATTTATTCAATTAATATGTTACTCGCGGCAAATGTTACAATAACGCTTGTTAAAAATCANATTCAAACGCTTTTGTCACAAATGCGTGGAAACTGCACTCTAGCACGACGCAAAACATTTCGGTTCTTAAATCTATATGAAAAATGTAATCTTTCGTAGTCAAAACTGGATAAAGTTGAGTTAACTTCCGACCTATTAACGCTAGATATCGTAAAGATACATTTACGAGTTATTTATTCAATTAATATGTTACTCGCGGCAAATGTTACAATAACGCTTGTTAAAAATCAGAATAAATGTCTTATTCTCACCTTCATAAACTAATATAAAACAGCTGATTTTTATGCTCCGTAAATCCAGCGTCAACCGGATGTAATCGAATGAATCTCCTAAACAAATGCAATTATTTCTAATCCCTCGAGTTTGTTAACTCGAGCACTTGTAACAACAATTCTGAGCACTTGTAACAACAATTCTGAGCTTATAATATATCCTGTATCGGAGATTAGGATATAAATAGCCTCGAGCACACATAAATCGCCGATGTGCAGTAGAATATTTCAATCATAAAGCAAACAAGAATTTCAACTGAAAATTGAAACTGACACTGGAAAAAGTAAAATTCTAAAAAAATCCGCGATCTTCGTTGACCAGCCGAAATTGATACTTGCCGGGAGAATTATTCCGACGCGTCGTACAACATAATTTGATTTTCCCGTCCGATCGGAATAAAAGTTCATCGTGTGTGGCACGGCGAATAACAGTTTCGCGTCGACGACGGGTCGAAACATCCGTTTCGATCGCGGCGAGTCTGCCCCGCCGTTTATCACATAGAGGTACGCTAGATGTCTCGCGTGAGAAATTCGCGGTATTTTCTTTATCTGTCCGTAATCTCTCGAGTAATGAGGTGGATCGTTTCTCGGCAGGAACACAGTGGTCGCCGGGAATCGTCGTTACTCTCCCGTGAATCCTTGCTCACCTGGGAAGTATGAGCCCGCTCATTAATTACAGCCACGATGACTGGAAACAAAGTGTTTTTCAGCGCCGAGCACATCCTACCTGCTCCATCTAAGCGGGAACGAATTAAAATTCTGATCGCGATCTGACGCCCACACGCGGCTTCTGCCTCGCAATAGTCGTGGCACGGCATTGGCGGACGGTGACCTTTTTGGTTAACCTCGCCGCGGGAGATGCATGCTCTAGTAATCGATACTGAAAGAAACAGCCTGAGAGTGCGTTCGAAATCGGTTGCATCGGCAACCGAGAAAAGCTTGAGTATTCAAGATCGCGCGAGCAAAGTGTCCATTGAAAAGCTGTCCGCTTTGAATCGACCAATTAAATACGAGGAAAACTGTTTGTTTTATCACGAGTAGGCGAAAATATCTCTCTATTCGAAGTAAAAATGATTTATGTCAACTCAGGGGAACAGAAATCGAATAGAAATTTCTTTATTCCTTGACTTCTGGCGCTGGAAAAACGATGGATGCCTGAATATATACATTATATACAGGGTGTCCCAAAAATGTCTCGTAATCCGGAAATGGCGGATTCCTCGGATCATTTGAAGCAGCTTCTTCCTTTACAAAAATGTTCTCCGAGGCACCGTTAACGAGTTATTAATGAAAATCAGTGACCAATAAGAACCGAGTACGGCTGACGGCGCACGGAGCCCAGTTCCGCTCATTGGCTCGGTCGCCTCGTGCCAGCCGCGCTCGCCTCTCATTGGTCACTGTTTTTCGTTAATAACTCGTTAACGGTGCCTCGGAGAAAATTTATGTAAAGGAAAAAGTTGCTTCAAATGACCCGAGGAACGCGCCACTTTCGGATTACGACACATTTTTGGGACATCCTGTATATATTTATTTATATTTTTATTGGACAATATTTTACGTTAATTTGGAATGCAGTGTATAAGCGATTTAGCATATATATTGCTGTAATTTTGTCAATACAATAAAACTCCGAAAAACAGTGATACGATACGTTTTTCGAAAAATTGTCGGTTCCTCCGGGATTTACCCTTTATCAGTCTTCAATTCTCCCTAAAACGATCGTTCCTAAATAAGCCTGCACAGACATTTGCATAAAAATCGCTCGCATAAGTGCCAGAAACGCCTGAAATGCGCTGTCTACTTTTAAGTCCCAGTAATCAGCGTCGAAAAGCATCTCGTCCAGAGCAGCATTTCGATCATCGAATCGCTCGCTAACCGAACACAGTGATAATAGGAAGCGGTGACAATATGGTGACACGTTCTGTTACAGAATGCAGCAACAATCTGGCGCAGGAAACGGAAATACAAGGCGCGCGCTTAGCCCCGGCCCGGGCGGCAGCGATTCGGAGGACTCTGACATTTCTCTCGGCGGAACGTCGCCTCCGTCGCCGAGTTCCTCGCCTCCGCCGACTCATCAACCATCTCCTGTTCCTCTCGGGCCCCTCGGACCTCTGCCTCCTCCATCCTTAAATTTCCGCTTCGATCCGTCGCAATCGCAGTTTCGATTCAACCACGCGACGGCTTTCAAGTTCCCGCCGTCGGGTTTCCGGTTTGGACCGCACAGCCCGCAACACAATCATCCGAACATCTCAGGTGGCGGGATCTTCAGGCTGACGGAAACGAGCCCGTTCCAGGCTGTAGGACCCAGGGGTGATCTAGGATCGAGGTAAATCGTTTGAAAAAACCACCCTTAACCGGGCACCGAGAATACTCGATTGGCTATCGGTGGAGTCCGTGGCAGACTTTAACCGAACGAGTTATCTCTCGTAATTTCTGCTCATGTTTTCACAGTTTTCCCATCTTTTTTATATGGTTCTTTTGCGAGTTAAGAATTGTTCGCGGTAAATCTACCGAGCACTGGGACAGTATCCTCGAATTAAGAACATTCCAATCATTTTTATTTTTTGATCGAAAGAATCGTTATAGAACAATAGTGAAACTGTGGAGGTTCGATGTTGAAGAATAATTCACGCGTAGAGTCGCGTATCTTCTTCTATTTGTTATACAGTAGACTCTCGATTGTTCGAACCACAGAATTCTTTATTATCCAATCATGTTTCTAGTGCAAACATTTCGATTTAAAGCGATTCGCACGCGATACGATTTACTGTATAATGAAAATGAGGATTTAGCCAAGCTCTGTAATTAACTGTTTTATTATTCGAACATCTGTGTGTATATCTCTTCGTTTAATTCGGATAATGGATTTGATTACGCTGTATCGACAATGAAATATTCAACTAACGAGTACAAATCTCACGTTAAGTGTCAAAGTTATTATAAGATCACTTCGCAAGATGATTAACCCCTTGTGATAGAGATTGGTAGTGATAACCTGTTCAATTGGGAACGGAATTCGATTCTCTTGTGATCGATAATTAAGCATCAAGTTCTTATGTAATCTCGATACAGAAGGAACGAGAATAATTTATAATTTCGTTAGACAATGTTCGATATGAACTTTGAAGCTAATAATAAGTAATATCGACAGGGTGTCCAGAAAATGTCTCGCAATCGGGAAATGGGAGGTTCCTGAGGTCATTTGAAGCAACTTTTTCCTTTGCGAAAATTTTCTCCAAGGTTTCGTCTACGAGTTATTAACGAAAAACACTGACCAATAAGAGGCGAGCTCGGCTGGCGCGCGGCGACCCAGCCAACGAGTTCACGGAGCCCAGTTCCGCCCATTGGCTCGGCCGTCTCGCGCCAAATGATCTCGCCTCTGATTGGTCACTGTTTTTCGTTAATAATTCGTAAACGAAGCCGCGGATTGCATTTTCGCTAAGGAAAAAGTTGCTTCAAATGACCTCAGGAATCCCCTACTTTCGGATTGCAAGACATTTTTGGGACACCCTGTATACTGTCCGTCGCTCGTTTGAGGTCTCATGGCAAGAATGCGAAAAAAGTGGAAGGGGTACACTTTTCTTGCCCTTGCACCGTCCCATGGGACTTTTTCAATTTTTTTTTCTTTTAAAAACTATATACAATAAATATTATTGTATATACTATATTTATTTATTGTATATTATATTATTATTTATTGTATATACTATATTGTATATACAATATACAATAAAATAGTGAGGACATATCGCGTGCAAATAATCTAGTAATGGGTTAAAAAGTGAGCGATGGGCAGTGCATGTAACAGCCCTGTATTCGTCAAGTAAACCCCCCGATTTAAATCACGAATAAATAAACGAATAAACGAATAAATAAATGTAATTACTGTAGCTGTGAACATAACGACACAACAAGGGGTTAAATCGAATATGCTACTGGACCAGAGAGTTCCTCTCGTCACTCGAGTCGCTTTCCTCGCGGATTTCCCGGTAATTTTCTAAGGGCGGATTTTCGGATTGCAGACTGCCGGATCCCTTGGGACTGCCACCCCCGCGGCTGCACCCGCACGAGGGTCTGTTGCACCACCCGCACGTCCCGCACCAGCTGCCGGAAGGGATGTCCAGGTTATCGGACGGCTCGCGACTTTCCGACGGCGGGATCTCGCGTTTGTCGGACAGCCTATCGGAAGCGCACAGCCCGCCGTTAATGGCGACGAATCTGTCGGTGACGGGTCCGCTAAGGGTTGCAGTGCCGAGCCCTCACACGCCTTCCTCGCGGGGCAGCCCGCCGTTGAGCCANATTTGAAGCAACTTTTTCCTTTGCGAAAATTTTCTCCAAGGTTTCGTCTACGAGTTATTAACGAAAAACACTGACCAATAAGAGGCGAGCTCGGCTGGCGCGCGGCGACCCAGCCAACGAGTTCACGGAGCCCAGTTCCGCCCATTGGCTCGGCCGTCTCGCGCCAAATGATCTCGCCTCTGATTGGTCACTGTTTTTCGTTAATAATTCGTAAACGAAGCCGCGGATTGCATTTTCGCTAAGGAAAAAGTTGCTTCAAATGACCTCAGGAATCCCCTACTTTCGGATTGCAAGACATTTTTGGGACACCCTGTATACTGTCCGTCGCTCGTTTGAGGTCTCATGGCAAGAATGCGAAAAAAGTGGAAGGGGTACACTTTTCTTGCCCTTGCACCGTCCCATGGGACTTTTTCAATTTTTTTTTCTTTTAAAAACTATATACAATAAATATTATTGTATATACTATATTTATTTATTGTATATTATATTATTATTTATTGTATATACTATATTGTATATACAATATACAATAAAATAGTGAGGACATATCGCGTGCAAATAATCTAGTAATGGGTTAAAAAGTGAGCGATGGGCAGTGCATGTAACAGCCCTGTATTCGTCAAGTAAACCCCCCGATTTAAATCACGAATAAATAAACGAATAAACGAATAAATAAATGTAATTACTGTAGCTGTGAACATAACGACACAACAAGGGGTTAAATCGAATATGCTACTGGACCAGAGAGTTCCTCTCGTCACTCGAGTCGCTTTCCTCGCGGATTTCCCGGTAATTTTCTAAGGGCGGATTTTCGGATTGCAGACTGCCGGATCCCTTGGGACTGCCACCCCCGCGGCTGCACCCGCACGAGGGTCTGTTGCACCACCCGCACGTCCCGCACCAGCTGCCGGAAGGGATGTCCAGGTTATCGGACGGCTCGCGACTTTCCGACGGCGGGATCTCGCGTTTGTCGGACAGCCTATCGGAAGCGCACAGCCCGCCGTTAATGGCGACGAATCTGTCGGTGACGGGTCCGCTAAGGGTTGCAGTGCCGAGCCCTCACACGCCTTCCTCGCGGGGCAGCCCGCCGTTGAGCCAGCAGACTCCTCAGGGTCAGTCCCAAGGCCAGGGATTGATAAGGGTCGTGACACCACCGGCGAACCCGAAACCGCCGCAGATCCACAGACCGTTCTCGCCGGCGTGATACGACAAGGAGGATGATCCCGACGAGGTCGTGCTGGAGGGACAACAGGAACAGGAAGAGGAACGGGATCGGCCCACGGTGCAGGAGACGACCGCGAGCAACGGTGAACAGCAGTTCGTCGGGAAGCGGTTCGAAGTATTGTGAGATCGATCGGAGTGAACGCGACGCGAGGGAAGAGTCTCGCGAGTTTTCGCGAGGGCGACTCGGACTCGGAGCGGAATTCTCCCACGAAAACGCGCGGCGATCGCTCGAGATCAAAGAACGAGCTGTTCGAGGAGCGGCCGAAGAGTCGAGGAATCGAGGGTCGCGAGAAATCAATCAACGACGCGAGAAATCCGCGTATCGGAGGTGTGTTAGGACCGCGTTCCAAGGACGCCGCGGTCCTCTCGGAGCCACGGTTCCCGTTGCTTCACGTCAAGGACACGTGGCCGGAATCCATCGGATCGTCGGCGCATCGTTGGACAGATCGCGCGCGGTCGGACGTGTGCAATTTAATCGAAGATAAAAGAGACACCGGAAGCAACCAGAGCGCGTGTAAATAGCCGGCGGAGACTCTAGGACCAGTCACGGAGCGATCTGCCACGACATGCTGAACAAAAGGACTCAGTGTAGTGTGATGTTACTTCGTAGTTTGTACATAGCGACGCTTTCGCGAAACCAAAAAATCGAAAGGGAAGCGCGATTCGGAGCCACGTGTGCCGCTCGAGCTGTCCCGATATCACTAAATCGAATCTCCGATGGACGGACGCACGTGGTGCGCGTCATCGATGAGAACAGAGTAAGCCTTTTTCTCTGGATCGTCGCGGGATGATCGAAGCCGGCCGCGCCGAAGTGATCCGTACGAAATTGTAACGAAGCAAAAACCCCCTTTGTACTCGCGGACGGCGTGTTCACGTCGTCGACGACGTTCCAACGCGCAAAGCGCACAATTATTAAAAAAAAACAAAAACAAAATGCTTGCCGACGAACGAAAAGGAAACAGTGAGTCGCGGAGGACACGAGCCGCTCGAGAATCGTACGAGAAACACGGAAGACGCGCGCGTGCGCGCGTCATCCTCGTCCCCTGTTAGCCTAAGTAGAGATTAGCGAACGTGTACATTTCCGAAATCAACTTGGTCCCCCCGTTGAACGGTTTCGCTCTGGGAATAACGAGCCGCGACACGACTCGGGAACGTTCGACCACGCGAGAACCGATCGATCGATCGATCGATCGTTCGTTCGTTCGATCCTATGGAGCTCGACGTGGCGGAGAATCCGGAGGTGCGCGGAGTGCAGACGTCCTGCCGTTCGCGTTTCCTTTTTCTCTTTGTAGATACGCATACGTACAGTACACACGCATACACGCAGCGAACAAACAGGAAACAGATTAGCGAATTTCTTGTATAATCGGCCCTTATAAATATTGAACATACTACCGATCTATGTATACATAGGTACCTTACGTAAAAGACTATTAACGACGGAATTATACATATATAAATATACGGAGGAGAGAATAAATCATTATTATTATTATTATTATTATTACGATTATTATTATTATTATTATTATCATTATTATTAATTATTATTAATATTATTATTTGCGCCTGTACATAACATTCACGCGAAAATATATTAACAGATTATTATGACATTACAACAAAATCGTGGTTGTCACTCTCTCGGATTCGAGTATATATACCCCTCCGATTCGACCGCACGGCCATTCAATCCCATTCCATTACAAACCTCGACGTCCAACAATCCCGAGCAGCAGAAATTTATGCGACCGCCCCCGGTTAATCCACCACCGAAACTATCACCGAACGCGTTAAAATCATGTGGCCGGCTAGCGGCAATTATCCGGTCCGTTTGAACCTCGCCGTGTTATAAAACCGCTCGCCGTGAATTCTCTCTCTATTAACAGGCCGCGCACCGGGCTGTCGTCGAGGCTCGACAGGCTCGACTTTTGCCACCGTTCTATGAGAGCGTATCGGTGAACCGTCAAAACGGCAGGAATTAATTGGAAGTAATCTCGATTCGAATGTGCGCGATGCAACGATGTTTGCACACTTTTCGACGCCGCTTCGGCGATCCTTCGGACGCTTTACGGAAGATAAAGCACGCCCCCCCCCCCTCGTGTGAAAATATTTTTAGCACTGAACCACTATCACAGTCAAAATGACCGATTTTTTATTTTACGATACTACAAACTTTGGAGACTTCTTTGTGGAAAATGATTGAATAAATTATATTATTGAAACGAGTCTCATAATTGAGCCGTTTATTTTGAAAGTGGCATAAGTCACTTTACCGTAATGAAAAGTGGTGATTTTTTAATGTTTATACGAAATTATTTATACTGAGAAAAATATCGGTATCCTGAGATAACAAATACAAGTAAATCTTTGCGAAAGTTAGCATCCATATTTTGAAACGTGTTAAAACGCAAACTCTTAAATATATCGACTTAAAAACAAAGTGACTTATGCCACTTTCAAAATAAACGGCTCAATTAAAACTTTACAAAATCCAAGCGAACTCTATCTTTTCACTCTTATGAGTCGATGCACGGTAATCATCGTTATACAGGTCGGTTGGTTTAGTGTTTTAAGTATCTATCGCGTCGCTTGAACATCGTGCATTCTCGCGTACATCGTTACGGTGAAGGAAAATATTTTGGGAACTTTTTAACGAGGACTCGCACGGATTCATTTTACTGCTGGCATCGCAGCTTAACGTTGCACGTGTTACAGTAATGTCTCTCTAATTGACGCACAGATCGTCCACGAAAATGGAAAATTTAGGGAGAAGAGAGACGATTATTCGAGCCTTGCGGTTCAATTTTTATAGTTACGAATTGTCAACAACTATAAAAACGAGTTACAAGGCTCGAATAAATGGACTTAGGCCATTTTCAAAATAAACGGCTCATATGTCTCCCGAATTGACGCTCAGATTGTCTACAAAAATGGACAATTCGGGAAGAACGAGATACGATTATTCGAGCCTTGTGGTTCAATTTTTATAATTACGAACTGTCAACGATTATAAGAACGAGCTGCAGGGCTCGAATAATCGTATCTCTACTTCCCAAGTTGTCCATTTTTGTGTACAATCTAAGCATCACTTAGAGAGACATCACTTAGATCGCCGCGCCAGCAACCCCGATAAAAATTTAATAAAATTAAAGTACACGATCTAGCCTTTCAATCGAAAAATAAATATTTCCGACAACAATTATGTTTCAAACATTCTTACGTTCTGCGGATCCTGATCAAATCGGGAACAATATTTTTTCAAAATAAAGAGCGTTCAAGTCCGATAGAAAAAACGTTCTCGCAGCTGATGAAAATGATTGCTAGGAAAACGACTGCAGCTATAATTATGTTCCAAGAAAATAATTTCATTGGAACGTGTCCGAAACGATCGAAATAAAGACGACCACACGGGCCTAATTCGTGGCCGTTCTTTCGAAGGAGAGAGATCTCGCTGTCGATCGAACGCGCCTAGCGTTTGACGAGTCTATTTCCGACAGCCGCGAGGAAACAATTAAAATAACTTCGACCGCGAAAGAAGCGAGCCAATCCATCCGCGCCTCCTGCGCTTCTCCCCCGCCGGTTCTTCCCACAATTTAAACGCTGCGAAGCTGTTCCCCACGGTGCCGGGCCGTCGGATATCGCCTAGTCACGGGGCTCCCTGTTAACGAACTCGAAGAAGTCGCATTCGAAACACGGATCTTTCTTCGTCGAAGGTCAAACCGCGCGCCGAGCCGAGCCGCGCCGAGCCGCGCCGCGTCTGGAACACTGGTTCAGGCGGAGAGGACAGAGGGAGGAGGACGAAAACGGGGAGAGACAGAGACGTGGAGGGAGAGGCCGACGGAGAAAGAGATCAGCCGAAGGGGAAGGTTATCGACACGAGTCTCTGCCAGCCGGAGCGAAAGAGAGCCGGAGATACGTGATAGAGAGCGAAAAGCGACGGAGAGAGAGAGCGAGAGCGAGAGAGAGAGAGGAAGAGAGAAAGAAGCGCGAGGGAGAGGGAGAAAGAGAGAAGAGCGAGGGAGAGCAAGAGGATGAGAGGAGAGAGTAGTTGCGCGCGATAACGTGGCGTGGGCGGGTGTCGCTGACAAAATGGACCAATCGGCTCGCCGAGTTGCCTTGTAACCGATCCCGCGGGTTAACCAGGAACCAGGAACATCGACCAAGACTCTCCAAAAAGCCGATATGCCCAGAGCGCACGCCTAACCATTCTCGTCGACGACTCCACCCTTGCCCGACGCTTCCACATGCGACCACTTCCTCTTTCCCTCTCTATTCCTCTCTCTCTCTCTCTCTCTCTCTGTCTGTCTGTCTCTCTCCCTCTCTCCCGATGTCGTCGCTCGCTCTTCTTTCCTCCCCTGTTTTCCTCCTCTCCGTCGCTCTTCCTTCTCACCCTCTTCCTCCGTCGCGGCGATGCGTGAACCTTTCCACCGTGATCTTTCTTCTCCCTCCCTCCCTCCGACTCTTTCCCTTGCACCCTTTCCCTCGTTCCGACTCCGTTCGCTGCTTCCAGCGAAAGTTCTCGACAGCTGGGTGGATTCTCCTCGCCGCTGAAAGATGGAGTCGTTCCGCCACACAGGGAATGGAGAAATTCCGCTGTTTTGCAATTTGTTAAACGGATTGCAAACGGAGAAATTGAAATTGTATATAGTGGACGAGAAGGCGTTAGGCTGTTGTGTATAATTCGTGGCACTTGTAACGGCTGTTATTAGATCCAAGTTCTTCGTGATTATTGAAAACTGCTATTAAATGGTACAATAATGTCTCCCTTACTGACGCTCAGGTTCTCCACAGAAATGGACAATTTGGGAAGAGGAGATACGATTGTTCGAACCTTGCGACTCGTTTTTATTGTTGTCGACGATCGGTAACCATAAAAAAACGAGCAACAAGGCTCGAACAATCGTGTCTCCTCTTCCCAAAATTGTCCATTTTTCTGGACAATCTGAGCGTCAATTAGAGAGACATTACTGTAGTTCGCTCGATTCGCGTAGCTACGAGCGCACTGAAGACGATATAAAAAGGTGATTGTACACGATTATTGCCTGCTGATTGCGCTTTTCTAAGCTGAACTAGAAACTTTTCACCCCCAGTACAAATAAATATTAGGAATCCTACTGAATTGTCCGCGAGCTCGAATTTAGCGAAGGCTTTTTTCTCCAGACTTTCGAAGGACCGTTGATTCCAGCTATTGAAAATAATAACGGAAAACAGTTTGCTGGAAAAAGCGCTACGGAAATTCCTGAAAATCTCTAGCGACACCCTTTCGGAGCCGCACCTCCTCCCTGCCACAATTGAAGCTTCCGATCTACATTATTAATCCTCTCGTTGGAACAGCGAAGCGTAAAACGTCGTCAACGAGCCTCTAATTCCCGGGTTTCTCCGCGTTCCGGTAAAAAAAAAAAGAAAAAAAAGGAAGAGGAGATTGAACGAGCGGGCCGGCCTTCTTGATAAGCATCGTCTGCGATTCAACGGGCGGAAGGAAGGCGCGGGACGGGAAACGTTGTGCAACAAACGCGCGCGCCGCGCGAACAATGAATGCTCCGCTCGGAGCGTCCGTGTCGCCACGTAGCCGCGGAAGAATTTCGTACGGGGTTTACGGGGTAGGAACGAGAAGGATGAATGTCGCGATTATCGATAGGCATCGGTTCCGTGCACCGTTTTTCCAAGGTACATCCAATATGGCGTGAAAAGGACCGTTCGTTCCCCGTCCGCTCTCGTTCGTCCTGCTCCGTCCTCCCTCCTCGTCGCACACTGGTTGCCACGCTCGTCTCGCTGGTCGTGTTTTGACAGTTGCTGCTCTGACACCTCTGGCACATTCATTAGAAAGTGGTTCTCAATCCCGTTCGGCCCGGCCCGCGTATCGTTTTCACATTTTAATCGGGCTTTCTCGTTTCGCACGAATATCTGATACGCGATCTGGTCGCGTTGCCGCGTTGCCGTTATCAAAGTTGTCCGTTTCTGCATCAAATTCAACTTCGGTTTGACAGTTCTTCGACAGCTTGACGAACGTATCTATTTATTATTCGCGACTGCGGCACTTGATAGAAATAATATCAAGCGCTTAGCGGAAGGCTAGAAAAAGATCTCAGCCGATAACATTGATTTACGCGAGCGTAAATAAATATTCTACGAACTGCGTGCTTTCTGTTCGAAGCTCCTCTAATAAGAGCAATAATTAATAACCATAAATATCTATAAAGTTGCGATGATAAAGCTTGTTCGCGCGAGCGACTGCTCTTTAAAATCCATTTCGCGACGCGTCGAGATCGCGCGAAACGGCAACGACAAGTCGCCGACATGAAAGACGGTGTCACGAAAGACGCGTGGTTGACCCAGATATTAGCGAAAGAATGATTTATGCATTCGGCGCGCAGGTGGAAGACAGAGCCGGGATGCGAGCCGTTCGCGCGGTTTCAAGCAGCGGTTTCTGCACGGGGTGAACGATTGTTACCCGCGCAAAAATCCTCTTTCCCGTTATCACAGAGCGATCGAATCGAGCGATCGGACGTCGTTTTATCGGGAGAGCCGGACTACTCTCTCTCTCTCTCTCTCTCTCTCTCTCTCTCTCTCTCTCGGGCGAGGATCGAGGCTCGAAAGGCGTGCTAATAGGGGATGCCCGCTCTA